ATCCACCAGCGAAACAGAGCAGAACTCACAACATAAAAATCTACAACCAGCCCCATTGCTGAAACTGCAGAGGACTTTATTAAAGTGGCAACCGAGGCCCACGGAAATCCCAGCCATATGTGTCCACTCTGGCAGTAGAAAGTTAAAACAGATTCTAGTTTTACCATATTTAACATGAGGTTAATAATTTTGAAGTATTTATTTTCCCATTTCTCTGCCTACACATCATATTTTTACTAGCTAATGACAGAAAATAAGTCTTTACATTTTTCTAAGGTGATAAACGAAATATATGTGGAATATGAGAGGTTGCCAAGGTAAAAAATGGATGGAATGAAAAATGGTTTGTGATGAAGATTGAAAAGAGGGACATGCTATTCTCCTAAGAGATTCCTTACATCTGTTTTAGATAGTGCAATTCCTCACAAGCTTGCTTGTGTAAAGTGAACACAGCTGACAGAAGTTTCAAGTTTTCTATTGTGGTTTAGCTGTATGTATCACATATCAGGATATTCAAATAAAAGTGTAAAGTCTGGTGAGAGAACTTAGACAATGTCAAATTTCATACAAAGGACTTGGAGCTAGTGGGCTATTAATTTTCTGCACTTTCTTCTAATTATTATTGAGTGTTTGCCAAAAGCAGTTTGTAAAGGGACACTTCTGTAATGACTCAATTATTTCTCTTCAGGATTTATTTGTTTTTATTTTCCATGTATGAGGGTTTGCCTGCATGTATGTATATTCACATGTGCATCTGGTGTCAACAGAAGTCAGAAAACAACTTTGGAACCCTTAGAACTGTATCGACAGGCAATTGTGAATTGCCATGTGGGTGCTGGGAACCTATCCAGGTCCTCCACAAGAGCAGAGGGTTCTGAACCACTGAGCCATCTCTGCAGCTGCTGATGAGCCAATTCTTAAAAATGTTTGAGGGGCAACACAAGGTGGCACATGCCTTTAATCCCAGAGTTCTGGAGACAGGTATCTGTAAATTCACTGACTGCTAGATCCTCAAACTGAATTCCAAACCAGGCAGACCTACACAGTGAGGCCCTGTCTCCAAAGGAAAAAGATTTGAGATAAACACATTAGATAAAGAAAGTAAGAAAGAAAGGGGAGAGGACAATTTAAATCTTTTACAGGGTTTCAGGTCTGATAATTTGCTACCCCAAAACAATAAGCACATAAAATTAGAGGAAAGTGTGAGCATTGGCCCATGTGAAATACTTACTTTCCTCAACTGGGGACGAATATTGCCAAAAATCTGAGAGCAGTTGATGCTATTCTAGTCCCTGGATCTCATAAAGAGCCTTCTACCATACAGACCTTCTAATCAAGATTAAGGTAAATGATAATAGGACATGCAAAAATCTTCTGCAGCACACTCCCCTTTACTCTGAACAAATACAATGTAAGTCAATGAACTGAGCAATAAGCTAAGAACTACAAAGAAAACTCATATATATGCCCTGGAATAGGATGGAACCAAATGTTTCTGCACAGACTCTCTCTCTCTCTCTCTCTCTCTCTCTCTCTCTCTCTCTCTCTCTCTTTCTCTCCATATATATGTACATTTAGGGATGGGGGCCATGCACCAAGTCTAACCACAGTTCAGAGGTTGAGGATAAAGAATTGTGACAAATTCCAGGCTAATTTGGTAAACATGGTGAGAACAAGGCCAACTGGGGTTTCATAGCAAGATTGACAGACACACAAAAAAATAAATATAAGGTGAATAGTAATACCTGTATCACTGGCATTCTAAAGAGATATGGATAGTTATAAACATGGGCAAAGGGGCTCATACAAGTGGGATATTCACTAAAGTGCCTGTTTTATGCACATTGAACAAGGCACTCTACACATCCTAACTATATGTGGTCACTTGCCCAATGAGTGCTGTATTTACATTGAATTTTAGAAGGCAACTAACTAATGAACAAAAACCTGCGTGACGCTTCACACAGCACTACCTGGCTATTGATGAGGAACAAATCAACAGAGCAGACATATTGTGTTAACTTTCCAACATAGTGCCATATGTAACTGCTCTACTGGATAGCTTAACAAACTGGCTCCTTGAATATCTAGTTCTTTTTCTTCTCCATCTTTTGATCCAAGGTTTTTCCCTGTCTCATCCCTTGAATAAAGATTTCTACTCTAATAACATAATATTTCCAATTTTTTATCTTAAATATTCGGCAGTTGAAATTGCATTCCTGTAATTATAATTATAACTAATAGACCTTCCATTTCCCATGTCATAATTAATGTCAGGTTTTATTAGAGCACAATCATGCTGTCTTTTCTCTTCCAAGACATCTTTTATTGTCACAACATTTATAGTACATTGAATTAACTAATAAAGTATCCTAGAATCCCTTTGAAGTGATAACTTTATACCACAGATTCTGGATTATTGCTTAGAAAAACACATTTTTGTACTGTTTTAAAATCACATATAAAGTATTTCTTAATGTGCAACTAGTTCAAAACCAATAAAAAAAAGAAAGTAATGATTCAATGATAAATACATTAGAGTTCCTAAAAGGTTGTTTAATGTGCTCTTGGGAAAGATGAATGAGCTAATGGCAACAACCAGAAAATCCAGAGATCATCCTTGTTGGTTGCAATATATGACACTTAGGAAGGATCAACTTCATAGCAGCAAAATGCATTTTGGTAACAACATATGAATGATTTTCTTCTAAGTCATACCCCAAAGTGCTTTCTTTTCAATCATACCAAAGCTTCATTTTTATATTTTAACTATTCACATAAAGCTGAATCCTATAGGCAAAACTGAAATCAGAATTAAGACATACTGTGTAACTGTGTCATTTTAAAATATAATTGGGGTTAGCATAAAATTATTAGCTTCTCAAAAGGTAAGTAGTATTTTACAAGTCCAGCTGCAGTGCATTTGACACACTTAGGAGAGCCCCACACTGAAGGTGGGATGCTGGACCATTATCTGGAACTCACATGGGGCAAACACTGTGCTTCTGAGGCACACACAGTGCAGACTCTAATATCCACACTGTATTTGACCCAAGGCAATAAAGTTAATCTCTTAGAGTCCCGCCCTTTAAAGTTTTGCCTCATTGGAATTCTTAAATCTCTTCCTGCTTGGTTCACATAGTATAAACACTCAATTGTACACTGCACATACATGTGTTTGCAATATAAACATGAGGAGACACATGGGGAACAAATCACAGAATCACAAAAGGATTTGATGTTACATTATACATTTAAAAACACAGCAAAAACAAAGTTTTCAATGTATTATGCAAGAAGTCTCATTAATTGACTCTTTGAACTAATTTATGTAATTCCCATCTGTACTTTTTTTAAAGTCATTGATGAATTCAACTGTACTGCAGCAAATGAAAAAACAGTTAGAGGTGAGCATAATACCAGCTAATGGAATTTGAAATTCACAGAGAGAAATGTTTCCTACCTAAAGTAAAGTCTGTTGGCTTGCAAGGTATTTAATTATGAAGATCCAATGCTAGATATGAAAAGTCTCTAAAACCTCAAATCACCAGAAAGAATTTCAAGTTGACAAGATGCTCACCTTCATTGAACAAACAGGCTTATTTTTCTAAATTGTAAACCATCTACGAAATAGATATCGATTCTTCCTTTCTCTTCTTTGAAAACATACCTTGAATACAACCCAAAAGTCCAGATCAAATTTAGCTTTTAAGAAAACCTATTAAAGTTAGCCCTGGAATAGGATGGAGCCAATGTTTCTGCAGAGACTCGCCCAAACACCTTTCTATCCCTCAACCCAATGCTTCCAGGCCTAGCAAGGCCTGACATACAAACTTAAGGTACACTTCTGTTTCTGCACCCAGGCTCTCAGAAACAGCTGATCCTGGGAGAGCCTTTGGATCTAGGTGGGGTCACAAACAGATGCTCTACTATAAAGAAACCCAGCCTGGGATGAATCTACTTAGGCCTTAGTAGGATCAGATGGTCAGGAAACTCAGTGTTGTTGGAAATTACTGTGTTTTTAGGATGTTGAGGCATTCTGTAGAACAGCCAATGCCCTTGGTTCATTTCTTTTCTGTCCTTTGAGGCTAGAGGCTATGGGAGGGCCTCTAAGTCACAGGGCCACATTGTGTTGAACTCTAAGGGACATTCATGATAAAGCAGGTTGTTTTATTTAACTTAAAACCTGGAAGCAGCTTTCTGTCACCTCAAGCCTGACTCAGAACTTATTAGCATGGTGCAATAGTTCTTTCATACGCTTGTATCCCGATGGAAGGAAATTTCAATGCACTCAAGTGTCTCCGCATCTAATAGCTACAATAATGTTTATAATAAAAATTTACAGGTGTATGGTGCCCTTCTTATAAAAATTATGATTTACTTCACAAATCTTTTCAAAATACCTAGAAGAGTAAAAAACTTACATCCTAATTTCACAGATTTATAGCAGTAACAACTCAATAGAGATGATATCGGTGAGTTTTTGAGATTCAAAATTAAATGTTGACCAAAAGTGGCTAGATAGGCAGTTGAATTTTCTAGCTCTCTGAGACAAAGCTAAATCCTATGAAAGAAGCTTAAATCTGTATTTTTTTTCTGTTCCCTTCCTAATATGTAAGAATTCTTACTTTAGGGCCACAGGAATATTTTTAAGTTACCAAGTGCAAATATCTACCATAAAAGACTATAACATAGCAAGCATTACTCCTAAATAACATAATCATAGCAAAATAAAAAAGGAAAACAGAGGGTCAAGAAAGAAATTACAATTTGCTGCTCTAGATTGAATATATATAATTTTATACATTGTTCTTCTTTTTCAGACACTATTTTGATCACCATCTCATGGAAAAGTCATTTGATAACCGTATGGGATAAAATCAGGAAGGTACCACTTACAAATCAATGGTCAGAAGCCACCCAGTCTGACAACACTAATCAAATCAACAAGGGAGGAGGAAAGATGATTTACATATAATTCCATCCAAGGATAGGCCTACCTGAATCATATGCAAAATCTCTGGGTTCCTGTTTGATCATCAGAGGAGGGGGGAAGCTTTGGCTGGCTGCGCCTCCAACCATGGTGTTGTGTTCATAGACTGGGTCATGGTACTCCTGCTTAAAGCCTTGTGGTGGGAAGGGGATGTTTGGCTCAGACATCTGCCGTTGGTACACAGGACGCCCTTCCCTTGGCAATGTCGGCAAAGGAGGAAAAGAATTACAGGGTTCAGAAAGCTGTCGACGAAATCTGGAGAAGAGAGAGTGTTTCAGATGAAATGGTAACACAACATTGTCTTTAAAGGACTGATAAAATGCCTAACTGCTAGTGAGTAGTTTAATACCAAACGCCCAATGTGAGCAGATTTAATGAGCCTTAGATTTCTCTTTCTTAGAACAGTAGTGCTATGATTTTTAAATCCCACGATGACGTGTACTCCCCTTTTAATCCATCCATTACAAACACTTCAGCAGATCAAGCAATTAAAGGTGTACTGCCAGTAGCTGTAGAACAATGAACTGTTTGGAATAAATATGAACCCTACCAGCTAAAATGACCAATTTTAAGCTAATTGGATCATTTACATAACTTCTGGAAGAAAGGTTCCTCAAATAATTACACATAAGAAAAAGCAGGAACAACAGGATCTGATCTCAAATGGCATTCTTTCTCTTTAGACTCTGTCACCAAACTAACCAGCAGCCGGACAAAAAGCTTCTTACTGCATTTCCTTCCACAGCAGTCAGTAATGTGGGAAACATGAGAGAACCAAATCTCTTCTCAAATCAGCAGGCCCTTAAATTCTTCAGCAGTGTCTAAATTCACTATGTGCTCTTGTAACAAGTACATTTTGGCATCAGGGGAACTTTTGTTTTCTTATTAAAGACTATCTCTGTGCTGTCCACGAACTCCAAACTGTTGAGCTGATTAAAAACTAAGCATATGTACACATCTGACCAGGAAAGATGAAGATGATAATACACAGAGGCTGCACAAGTCTGGGGTCATTCAGGCTATGAGGACATGTCTAAGGCCTAGGCTGAGAGCTATACGTGAGGCCCATGCTCCTTGGTTCTTGGTAATGATTGGTTAATCACATAATTGTTCTGGTCTGTGTATCTCATCTGTAACATCATTGACCCACCGCAAAGATGTGGATTAATTAAAGATTTAAAAGCAGTCTAAAAATTCCCCCAGAAGTGCTTAAAAAAAGTAACCTCTAAAACATATCCATAAGCAAATATTAGCCTATTAACCTATCCCCACTAAAAGCATTCCTAAGACTTTAATTTTGAAAGTTAGCATTTAATTTTAGTAATGTTAAACGAAAATAAGGTAAAAGCCAAAGAATGGCAAAGCAACTGCTGTAGCATTTTGAAGCATAGTGGATGCCAGGGCTTAACTCTAGGTATACCGGCTGCCATGAAAAACATGGAAATTCCACTTACACCTGCACAAAATAAACTTAGAAACTCGGATATTGTGAAACAGCTAGGCTGGCTGGCACTGCATTCATTTCCCTTCTCTTGCTTATTTCATTAGCCAAAAAAAGAAACAGAAATTATCATTAAGAACTGTCAAGGAGTGAATCAGAAAATTGTAACTTGATGGTAAAATAAGAAGCTGGCTCACTTGTGAAGCCTTAAAAGGAAGCTAATAATGCCTGCACTGAAAGCTTTGTAAGGAAGCAAAGCCGTTTGCTTTTACGAGTCAACCTGATTTGTACTTATTCTTGCTGGAGGCCACGTATGTGTACGTGACACACTTCCCAGGAAGATGTATGGTCTGGGTATCATTCTGGTCAGCCACTGACCAATGGGAAAGAGAAAGAGATGGAAGAAAGAGTTTGGTGGCTGAGGATAGCATGCTAACGCACTGGTGGGTAAAGAGAATCAGGGTATGCCTCGGGGACACTGCTGAGGAAAACAGACAGGTCTCTTGCACAGTGGGTTCAAGAGAAAGTGCCAAGGGGCTGGCCTGAGGTATGTGGTGAGGCTGAGAAAGGAAGCGGGGTTCTGGCCAGCTGGCCATAAACCGTTCCCAGAGTGAGGTGGGGTGCCGGGGGCTGGAGGTGGCTATCTGGGGAAGGGATCTGTTCCCAGAGCAAATTTGCCATTTATAACCAAGGGACTGCCATTTGTTGGCCAGAGCCCTCTAAGAAATCCTCATCAGAAACATAAGGTTTCAGAGATTTTCCTGGGATTGGCCAGCTGGTGCAGTCCTCAAAACTCAGTGGGGGGGCTGTGGGAAAAGACCCTGAGCTTCCCTCTTGTAGTTCCGGGCCGGCTGTTGTCAGTCTCAAGTACTTGACTTCAAGTTGAGAAACCAAAATGGATTTGGCTAAAGCATCTCCAGTTAGTTCATATAAAAGCAAGCACACTACTTACTCAACAGTCACCTTGCCTTAGAAATAACTAGCCTGAGCAGGGGGGCAGATGAAATAACCCATAACCCAGTGTTCATTTGAATGGGGGGAGGGTTGGTGATGACAAATTCGGGGAAGGCTTCAGCAGTGGACAAAAGCAACCTTGATAGTGTTTCATCGCCCCTGCTTTTTTCTTTTTGGCCCTGCACAATGTGCTTCTGTTTAATGGCCCACCATGCAATAGGCATTCTTTCATCTGTATTTATAAAACTGTTTACACAGATGCTCACAGCATTTCACTCTCAATACATCTCAAGTCTATGGGGTGAGAAGGGAAAGACAATAGGCAGCATTTAGTAACTAAAGCATCAGAGCCCCTGGCGACAGGAGCAAAGGTAGAAGACATGACTGGGTTTCATATGGGAAAATAGGATTTCATCCTTTTCATTTAAAGCAAGGAGGGACTGTATCTGCAACTGAGACTCAGTGTTCCCTTTATGCATTCAGATTTGCCTGTGGCACACCTGCTTCCTCTCTTGTCTAAGAGGAGTCCTTTCAATCAGCTATTTTTAGTGATGTACCTCAGCCAGTTATGGTTGTAGCTCATGGATAAATGTTTGAGGTTTGGGGGGTCCAACTGTTAATGCAATCCTATATTAAGAATCTAATCATTCAACTTTTCAATTAAAAGGCAGATTGGAAATAGAAAAGCAATAGAAACTTTAAGCTCTGAGTTCCCTAATGACTTCACTCCTACTTGTACTCTTGGAATCTAACAGGCTACGGATACTATGTAGTGGAGGGTGATGTATGTTTCTTTTTGGTTAGTATTCAGCGCTCTCACAAAGATAGTCACAAAAAGTGAGCTCATATTTTGCCATCAACTCAGTACACACTTCGGATAAGGTCCTTTTCTCCCTTGGAAACTACTGTCAAAGATATTCCAGGGATACACTGATGATGGGGGGAGGCACTTAGGTGGGTAGAGGTACCCCGTGGTCTAACTCACATACTAAGGTGGTGCTTCCCCCAATATTGTGTTGATACTTGGATCTCTTCATCTCTACAAGTGAACAGTTTTCTACTGCAGCCCTCTCACTACTTCCACACTCCTGGTTCATTTCTAAGTAATGCTCAGTTGGTGCCTGTCTCTTTGAAGCACACTCTCAGTCCACAGTCAAGGGGTCTACTGACATTAAATAGTCATTGAAAAGGAAAACAAACAGATTAATCAAATAAGTTGTACTTTGTAAGACTATATAGAACCAAATAATCTGATGTAATATAATGAATCTAATTTCCTAAGCCACCTACTAAAATGAGTCTACTAACTTTGCAGAGCAAGTGCCCACATATGCTCAGGGAGAAACATGATCTCATGTGAAGTTTAAGGGAAGCAACTTAAGAAGCGAAGGAGAAATGTTCAAATGTTCAGATTTTCCATTTTAGCAGCCAATTTAAATGTTTATAAAAAGAAATGCTTGTAAATGATCTCCACAAATTATTTTAGATAGAGCAAGCTTTATTAGAACTATTTGTGCAGATGTGCAAAATTAATATGCTCACCTGAAAGACTTATAGATCTTCACAGCAGCCAAGAGCAATACCCTCCACAAAAGCTGACACTGGTGGAGGTTTTTGCCTGTTTTGTCTGAAATGGCATCTGCAGCTTACCTGTGGTCCATGGGGTAGTTGCTGTCTGGTATGGACTGAGAAGGAGGGAGGTGAGCTGGGAAGGGCCTGTCAGGTTTCGGAGTATGAGTTGTGTTTGGAGATGCATGATGTAGTGGAGACACTGGAGTACTGGATGGTGTCGGGGGGTTGGAGGGCCTCATTCCCACGTGTGGCTTCTGATCATAGGCACTACCCAGAGAACAAAAGAGAGGACAGGATGCATTGGAGTCGTTTTTTAAAGAATCCCATCCTCTTTAGGCGTAAGTGATAAAGAGGCTAAAACCTTAAGATTTTGTTTTTTTAGTTCTAGAACTTATAGACTTCAAAGTCCCCATGCCCTTAAACAGAAAATAGAATATGAAATCATATAACAATATGAATAATTGTAACATCCATTTTTAGTACACAGACAACTTAGTTAAGGAAGACTCCTGGGACTGAGGGCTCTTTATCTCCATCCATTCTCAACATACATACACTGTCAGTAAGCTGAACAGATAGATCCTTCCCAAATCATTAAGTACCTGATCCTAATTCTCCCTCTGTATTACATTTTAAAAACAAGACCTAATATTAGCTTAATAAGAGAGACCATATTGGATTTGCCTTTATTTGTGCTAGAATTTTAAGGCAGTGCTGTTGCCTTTGTGGATGTTTTATATTAAATAAATGATGTTTGGCCTTGAATTCTTCACATGAAATAATAAAGATTAATGAGGTGAATTAAAATGTCTCAGATGCATTTAAACTTTCTTTGATTATGAGTACAAAATGATATTATTAAGAATAAAATCCTATTATCTTAGACAAACTTCCAATCTCAATTACAAAGAAAAAAAATTAAGCGGTTGGTTTTATATTATGAATTTAAATTGCTCCCCAAATGTGTGGCTTTCTGGAATATGATTGAACCTAATGTCTCCAATATAGAAAAAAATAAGATTTTACTTTCTGAACAACAACAAAAAATATATTTCTTTTTTACTCTTCAAATAAAAAAGCACTAATGTGAACTGGGTAAGATGGTGCATGCCTTTAAACAGATCAGAGGCAGGCAGTTCTCTGAGTCAACTGGGTCTATAGATCTATATATAGACTGAGTTCTATACAGCCAATGCTACCCAGTGAAATCCCATTTCTGTCTCTGTCTCTGTCTCTGTCTCTGTCTCTGTCTCTTTCTGTGTGTGTGGTGTGTGTGCATTGTAAAAGGAATATTTCTGTTCAGATTAATGTACAATAACAAAGTTTCTCTATTACAACAACAGAATTATATTCATGACTAAATATGCTTTGCCGAAGTGTGGGGCATGTGCTACATTCATCTACTCCAGCTTTAAAGCAATCTGTTTTCAGATAAAGAACACTGGGAAGGTAACTGGTGGAGGAGAAAAGAGAGGAATTGGAAGGGAGGGAATAGGGGGATAGATTTAATCAAAACACGTTATACATATGTATGGAATTCTCTTGTGTTTAGTTCTATGCATGTTCTTTACTGATATTTCTGAACCAAAACATACTCTTTCATAAAGTGGCTTGGTTGAGTCTTTCTCATAAAAAAGGAAACAAATGGCTAATTATTCTAAGATATTACTTTCCTCCCCCATAAGATTTTATATTAAATGTTATTATTTAGAGACAGATGAAAAGTACTAGAATGTATTGTATACACCCTCTATGCTGAGAGAGATGCTGGTTTCCAGAAAAACCCTCCAAATTGTCACCTAATTTCTCAACTGTTCATTTATGGATCAGAGACATATTGTATCAAACAATGTTTTTATGGTCACCAGAATGATCAGTGCTGAACTGCAAAGAGAATCCAACATCTAACCTGTTCAATGACTGGAAATTCTCCACTGTTAAAATAACTGTGATGGGATACAAGCCTTAAGCAGAAAATGCAAACAACAAAACTAAATCTTCAAACATGTATTAATATCTTACCTAAACTCAATATGTTCTCATAGTTCACTTTTACAATAGATCTGTTTTATAAAACTTTGTAGTTTCAATTGAGCTGCCCCATAATTTTAGGCTCTAGTGAGCCTCTTAAGAAGTCAGATATAAAAAAATAAATTTCAAGAACCAACAGAAAGAAAAGATCTCAACATTGGTCAGTTGCCATGAGATGGAACATTTCTTGAGTCTCACATCTCACAGATGTATTTGCAACAACACAAGATTGCTCAGGGTCCCAGTGCATTATGAGCTTGAAGTGATCCACCTTTTAAAACAGTGCACATATCTGCAATCATTTTTCATATGTTCTCAAACCACCTTCCTTTAGGAACTAAGTTTCTGCTATAATCAAGACTAATAGTCAATAGCTAGAGCCAATTTTTTTATATGCAATTAGAGGCCAAGATGAAGAATAAAAGCATGCAATTCACTACAAAGGGTTTTTAATGAACACATGTGTTATCAAATTTTCTAGCAAATGAACAATGTACTCAGAATGCACCACCCTTTATTATCATCTCAAGAACAACTGGCTTTTTAATAGATAATAGCCTTGGCTAAGCCTTATAAAATTCTAGTTTTATTACAATTGTCCATGAATGCATTGTATAGATCATCTGTAAAGACAATCAGATAACTAATGTCCTGCTTTTGCTTGCCAAATGTTATATATTTTTTCTGACAAACTATCTACCTAAAGTAAATAATTCATTCATTCTGATGGGAACTTCAAAAGCTGCCTGTGCCAAACAAGACTCTCCTTTCAAACACAAAATGCATGAGTACAGAAAAAAAAGTTGATGATTGAAATCAGAATTATTATTTAAAATGATGCTAAAGTGTGTGGTTGTCTGGGGAATGGGTCTTTGGAGTTCTGCTGAATACATTACCTAATTAGCTTATTATATAATGAAGATGTAACCCCCAAAAAAACTGACTTGAGATTGTCTACACGTTGTTTCAGAAAGTGGTGCCACTCTCCTTGTGTGCACTGAACTGCTTACCTGACACTGTACAGGCACTTTTCTCCATAGCTGAACTTAAAGGGTTGCTCTTGGCTGCAGGCAGACCCGAGTTCTGAACATGGGCTGTGGGGTTCTTTCTTGATTTTCAGTGGTAGGCCATGAAAAGCCACTAGAAACAGAACAAAATTATCCATAAATATTCAATTCAATTAGGAATTAAATCTATTTGTCTGTTTTACTTCTCTAACTTAAAGTATCCTTAACATTTCATAGTAACTTATGATTGTAAGAATAATAGCATGTGATAATCCAGGACACAGAAAGGATTATGGAAATCGTGCTCTGCAGCCCCCTTTATCTGCTTGTACTGTGTAACAAAAATGCACACCTGAATTAAGTAAATCAAACTTTGCTGATATTAACAATTCTAGAAGCTTGGTTTATAGAAAAGAAGTTTTGAAAACATGTCAAAAGATTTTCAGTGAATAAAACAGAGGAAAAAAATACAACTGTTAGTCAAGGCTGGAGTACAGGTCTGGGCATTGTTCACTAGTAATGCTTCAGTAGCAATGATTTCATGGTGCGTGACAAAGAAAATCCAGGTGTAAGTCCAAAGGAAAGCCACAATAGTATGTAAAGAGGAAAACCAACATCTTTAAGGCCAATAGTTATTTTTAAAACAGAAACTAAACTACCTGCCTATCTATTTACCAAAAATATGAAGATGAAATACAGGTTAGTAATTAGTACCTATTACAATTAAACTTGTAGTCATATTAGTTATGCTTTCAAAGTCAAAAGAGATATAGTTTAGACAGACAGGTCATCTTGAAACACTTCAGATATCTACAGAATATGGAATTGTAAATGTTTTAATAACATAGGTTCTTTTTTTATGACAATGAGAAATGTCTGCCTCTGGCAGCACCAATCTATGTCAGAGAAGATGATGGGCATCAAAGAAACTCCACACGGAGTTTACTTTCTTTGTGGCAAATGTAGCCACTGGGCAGGAAAGTGTTCTTGCCTCAACTGCGGACAGAATGCTGTCCAAACTGGACAAGCAGACACAAAAAGAGAGTGACTGCTAAACCTTGCCAAGACAAAGCAGACAGTCCTTCAAATATCCTGCTTCGTAGAAAAATCTGTTGAATATTAGAGGCCTGTGGGCTGAAGTTGGAGGCCCCAACCTTGCAGAGGAACCTTGGGTGACTGTCCAGGCAGCCAGCTGTTTCTGTCGTTTCTCACAATTTTTGGAAGTCGCTTGCTTGCACTTCCTGCTTGCTCAGGTAATATGATTTCCTTCTCAGGTCTCCGATGAAGTTGAAGACTTTATAGCTATAGTTTTCCTTTTTACAAGATTCAGAAATGAAATTCCTTAAAGAGGTGTAAAGTGTATAAACTTGAGAGACATTAAAAATAGTTTTGGTAACGCAAGTTAGAATAGAAAGTGAACTAGGTACAACATTTTAGACTCATCAAGATAGGATAGATACAGAGTATTTTCTCTGAATTTATCAGTTGCTAATGGACTAGACATTGTTGATATGCTTATTGCTTGTTTATAATGTACATAATGACTGCATTTATTGTATGGAGTTTTTCTTATATTGGTTATAACCTTTTTTTTTAGACAAATTAGGGAAATGTTATTTATAACAAATAAAGCTTGCCTGAAGATCAAAGTGCAGAGCTAAGCAACTAGCTAGCCATAGAGGCCAGGTAGTGGTGGCACACACCTTTAAACCCAGCATTCACTAGACAGAGGCTGATGGACCTCTGCTAGTTCAAGGCCACCCTGGGTTACATGAGATTGAATCTGTCTAAAAGAGAAACAGCTCACACAAATGTGATCCCAGAACTTAGGATCACATGCATTTAGTCCCAACACTATGGAGGTAGAGGCAGGTAATATGGCTGTGTGAAGAGAGGAATATAAGGCAGGAAAAGACAGGAGCTCAGGCACTCTGAGGATTTGTAGCTATGGATGCAGTCTGAGGACTCAGTCTGAGATGCAGTGTGAGCACTCACAGGGACAGGATCTCCCCTTTGGTCTGAGATTGGTAGAGGTACAAACTCCAGTAGCTGGCTGCTCTGCTTCTCTGATCCTTCCGTGTTCACCCTTTGATAGCTGACTCTGAGTTTTTATTATTAAAACCAAAGAGAATTCATGCAACAATAAAATGATACATGAAAATTTTTCATCACATGAAATCCTCCATAAAAATTCTGTATCAAATGATGTTCTTCTTTTTCATACATTATAGTGTGTAGTGATGTTTAAAACACAGTTTTAGCTCATGTTCATTCATTTGTGCTTAATTTAATATAGGTTATGTCATAAAATGTACACTATAAGAAATCTATATATGTATATTCTTACATAAACGTGCTTATTTTATGACTATAAAGTCAACTAATAAATTTCACTGTATTTTTAAAATTCCGATGAGTACTCAAGTGATCAGTATATTCTCTTTAGAATTATTTCACTACAATGTAAGTGAACACTGTAGTGTTCACTTACAAAAACACACGTGTGCACTATTTCACTAATTCTTAAAATATCAAACATGTATATTGCAACACGTTTTTTGGTAACTTTGGCCGAACTTTTTAATTACTTACTAGCTCTTTGAACATAGTTAACAAAATATATGTACTCAATTTCTAGCACTTTGAATTAAAACCTAGGTTTTACATTTTCTTAAAGAAACCAATTTGCCCTCAAAGAAATAACAAAGATCATGGATTTAATTTACATGAATAAAATTTGTGAAGACCTAAGATGTCATATTTATATATTTTTGCACAAAAGGCATGAAAAGATTACTAAGCAGCTTGCAAAATACACTTAACCCAAAAGAAAAAAAAATGACAAATTAAGTTTTACTAAAATTAAAATTGTCACTTTAAAGGCACCATTAGAAGAATGAAGGAGAAACCATAAGCTCCCTGATGCTTTCAACAGAAAGAATTGACAAATAATTCTTATTTAACATAAAAGGGTTTGCTGTATGTCGATATGATACAAAAGACCAACTTGAATGGACAAAAGGTGGACAAGCAGTTCATAAAAGAAAATATCAAAATAGCAAGATGGAGGGGGTAACCAAACAAGTTATCAAAATGTACAAAATGTAATCAAATTTTGCTCATCAGGAAATTGGCAATAAAACCACAAATTATAACCAAATGCCCATTAGGAAAACTAAAAGTTGACCATATGAATATTGAAAAAAGAAAATAATGGGAACTCTCATTCATGCTGCTAAGATGATGGGCTGGTATAAGCATCTCAGAAAAGAGTGTGGCTACCTGCTAAGGTTCAACATGAATGTCCCTTCTGATCCAGTAATTATACTAATGTCATATTTGGATGTGTATGCATATATGAGACAGGAGTGCATATGTTGCCCCCAAAACATATGCAGGGATGTTTGTAGAAGTTTATTCATCAGAAGAAAACTAAAAATGTTTTAACTATTCATTGGTGGAGGTAAGTCAGTGAAGTATGGCATCTGCAGGCAGAGAGCATTCAGAAAAAGCAGGGAATAAAGTACCTTCCAAGGGGTCCACAAACACAGATGCTCTCACAGCTATGGAGTTAAGCCTTGTAATTTCCAAAACAAAGCTAACTGAGATTGGAAAGATTGCCTTCCATGTTTAGCATGTGGTTTTGCTCAGGGGCTCAGTTAAATTAAATCTCTATGGTGATCTGTGACTCCATGGCTAGCCTCTTCTCACAGGGTGGACATGTGGACTCAAGAGAACATCACATGCAGATGAAGGCAGAGATCAAGTTGAGGATTCTGCAAACCAAGAAACGCCAAAGATTGACAAGAAAGTGAGGAAGAACTCTGGAGCAGATTTTCTCCATCATTGCTCAGAACTCTGTTCCCATCTTCTCCTGGCTCTGTAGTCTCTGAAAACCAAGAGAAGCAGTATCTGCTTCTTAAGCCACCCAGTACATGTCACATTGTCATGGCAACCTGTCCAGATTAATGCCCATTCCCAGTAATTTTTTCATCATGCCGACTGTGTAATGATTTTTATGTTACAAAATTTTCTAGGTGATTATCATAGCTGCATAAATGCTGACTCCAACATGAGGCTTGGCAACACCAGTGTACATTGCATTCAAATAGATCCAGCACTTGACAAATCCAAATAGATCCAATGCTTGTAGTATCTTCACCTTGTAGGTTCTCCAGCTCTAGGAGTGGAGAGCTTCAACTCTTTACATCTTCATTCTATGCATGTGGGGCTGTTAATCATTATGAACCAAGAGTTCATTTTGTCTTTACTAGTCAAGCCAAATGTCTGACAGATCTAAGATACTCACAAATTTTTAATTTGTTTGATTTGGATTTTGTTTTTAGGTCTTGCTTTGTCAGTTTGTTTGGTTTTTGTTTTTAATTTCTGCATGTGAGAAATAGAACTTAAGCCTTTGATTTTCTGTACAAGAACAAGGGGCTTTTCTTATGCTCCTCACTTTAGCTTACCTGACTCCTGGGGATCTTATCTATGACTTCATGGATACATTTTTTATTTACCTTTGCATGAGCGATGCAGAGACTCCCAGTAGAGAGGGCTGAGCTGGAAGCTGGCTAGGTATATTTCATCACAGGACTCAAGGCTTAGCGTCTGCTAATAGGAGGTTTTTCCAGATCATTGGCACAGGCACAAGAGAAAGCAGCACATTCATTTCGTGCAATTTGCTGTACCTTCCCACATGGAGTTGGTGCATGTAAAAGGCTGTTAAGTACTAAATTATTCCTTATCAAATCACCATCATCTGGAGTCATGATCAACACTAATTAAATTACTTTCACTGAACACGGCTCCAGCCTGCTGCTGAGGCTGCTTACACTCAGCTGGCCATGCAGCCCTGCCCTGGGCCTGGAACACAGACCTGCAGGCATCGGCATTGTTTGTAGTTTAATTAAAGTGAATCTTTCCTTTTCCAAGTGAATTAAATCAAGTGAGTTAGCCTCTTCATTTCATTGACAAAGAAATGATGTTTTGAAATGATGCTTTATTCCTGGCTTCATAAAGCTTGAATCATTGATCTGTGGATGAAATTCACAGCTCATCTCAGGCCTTCCTGAAACAGGCCTCCTGTGCAAACTTTGTGAAGACCTACAGCCCTAGCAATCAGCTCTTCTA